GTTGCTCTTAATCCATTCTCTGCCCAGCCTGTATTTGTGCTTGGGATTGCCCCGACCCATGTGCAGGACCTTGCACTTGGCCTTGTTAAATTTCATGAGGTTTGCATTGGCCCATCTCTCAAGCCTGTCAAGGTCCCTCTGGATGGCATCCCTTCCCTCCAGTGTGTCAACCGCACCACACAGTTTGATGTCATCAGCAAACTTGCTGAGGGTGCACTCGATTCCCACTGTCCATGTCTCTCACAAAGAAGTTAAACAACACTGGTCCCAATACTGACCCCTGAGGAATGCCACTTGTCACTGATCTCCACTTGGACATCAAGCCGTTGACCACAATTCTTTGAGTGTGACCATCCAGCCAGTTCCTTGTCCACTGAGTGGTCCTTCTGTCAAATCCATGTCTCTCCAATTGAGAGACAAGGATGTCATGAAGGACAGTGTCAAAGGCTTTGCACAAGTCCTTTTCTTACTGTTATTTTCTGCACATCATATCCTAGTTATACAGTGCAATCTCTGTGAAGTGATTTGCCCAGCAAGCTAGTTTTGAGAGCTGAAGAGAGAGCTCAGAAGTTACAAATTTCAATCCTAAGATATCTGATGTATTTGTAAAACTTCCATGCTTTTAAAATGTACAGGAGGTAGAAAAGGATTCACATGTCTTTAATGTGGAATGTAACAGCTGATTGTCTGGTACTGAGAATAGTGTTTTGTATAATTGCTCTCCAACAGGGAACAGTAAATTATAGGAAAGTGGGATTTTCTTACATTAGAGTTATAGTGTTCCTTACTATTTTAGGAATTCACCAGATGCTATGTAAAGAGCAAAAATCCCCCTGAATTTAGTGGAGAGTGCTAACTTAATTTATCTAAGTGATGAGTTACAGACGATTAACTGAGGAGCCCTTTTTTATCAGTCAGGTTACATTATTAAAATGAATTTAATAATTTTTACTCTGAGAGCTATACATTTTCAGATTACATTATTAAAATGAATTTAATAATTTCTCTGAGAGCTATACGTTTTCAGAAACCTGATCTCTGTATGAGGAAGAGCAACTGAGGGGGTTCTTAGATGCATTTCTGGAGCAAGATTCATAAACAGATATGCCTATATTAGCAAACATTGGTGACTCTCTGTAGTTCTAAATTTTTACAAAAGTATATATTTATTCTTGCATCTAATATATTTTGGAATTGAGGATATCTGAGTGGAATTTTAGGACATTTCTACTCTATATAGCAAGTAACAGTAATTCTTAGAGTCTACAGATTCTAGCATGTGATATAATTGCAGGATATTATTCTTTGTACTATATAGCCAGGCTTGTCACAGAGCACATCCTTGTTTGGGTTGTTTACTGATCTATTGTTGATTTCCTCTTGACTGGATAATAGCACGGTATGGACCAGCTATGCATTTTTTAATTTATTGTCTTTTTTGAGTTCTTGAACTACTCAAGATATTCAGGTGAGCACTTCATATGGATCATGTAGCCAAGGAATATGACTTTTTATTTTCCTTCTTGCACTTTTTTGTTGTTGGCTTGGTTTGGGGAGTTTTTGTGGGTTTTGTTTGTTTGTTTGTTTGTTTTAAGCAATCCATGGTGTTTATTTAAGTCAAGACAAAGGCATTATGGTTTCCTGTGCATATGTACACTCATACATGCATGTATTGGACTGTAATGGGTAGACACTTTCTGTGCAGAAGCTTTGCACAAGCAATGGTCTTGCTTAAGACTAATTAAATACATTTTTCATTTTGATCTCAAAGAATTCACATATTCTCAGATATTTCTAGGTGGATCAAAGCATTTGGTCTATATTAACGTGTATTGATGCTCAGCATAGGCAGTTGTGTCCATATTCTCTGTTGCATCTAAAGTTTTCTCAGCAAGATCTTCATCCAAAGAGCAAAACAGAAACCCACAGATACAACTCACTCCTCTTGGCTGACATGGGAGCAGAGCTGTGAGGTGGGAAGGAGCTGACCTGCAGAAGCTCATCAGCCTTTAAGTGAGCTGGAGTATTTTAAAAGCTCATTGAGCACGGTAATTGAAATCCCTTCACTCAGGTGAAGTGTGCATAGGATTAATGAAATCAGTGTTAGAAGACTGAAATTTGGCAACATGGGTTGGATATGTAAAATACTTAATAATGCACATATAAGAAAGAGTCTCTTCTGAGGATTTAAAACTAACTTTGAACGTTAATGAAGTACCTGGTTTTATAGAAGTTGTGTAGACCAGAATTTAAGAGCTTCCTTTCTGGCTTGTACAACATTTTCCAAAGATTTTAATGTTTGTATGTCTTCTGCATTTTGTACATGCTGACTCATTTGTTCTGTGAAGAAAGACCCCTTTGAGAAACACTTCTCAGTGTGAATATAATGGGTTTTATCTACTACTGGTACACAAATGAACATCAGTTTGCACTATGTTGCATCGCATCTTGTTATCAGTTTAGTAATTGCTTAAAATGTCTGCCCCTTACTAGATTGCTCTTAAAACTGGACAATGAACTACCAAAACACAGAATTACCAGAATGAACCTGAATGAATCTGTAATAAAACTTTCCGAGCAAGAGACAAAGAATCTTGTAGCTCTGTGAGCGTGTGGTAACATGAGTTCTTCAAAACTCGTGCAGAAGTCAAATGGCACTCCTTATGCATTGCTCATTTGCAGCGGGTGCAAGGCAGTCCATTGCTCGTGCGGTGATATAAATGTTCATCTACGTAGTGCATAGTAAACTCCTTGGGTGTAATGGATTTGTGTCTAGGTGAGGTAAACCCCATTCCTGGGAGCACTTCCACGGTAGCTCCTTGCCTTCTCAATCTGATATATACATGTGTCTTTTTGTTATATATGTGTTTGTGTATAAATAACAAAATTCAGTAGGTGAATTGCCTCAAAACTTCTTTAAGACTGAACTGTTCCTTGTTCTCTGTATGGTATATACACCTATGTATGACAGACATATAAATGCATGTAAACATATATATATTGGACTGCCTTAAAACCCATGTAAAGAAACAGATGCAGAGAAATAAAAAGGTTTTCAAGGGCCCAAGATGTTGGCAGAGATGAGAATATATGTCTCTTGGCTCCATCCCTTTAACATTAAAATATTTTTTTCTCTCTCTTTTATGAAATCCTAGTCAGAGAAGTGTTACCATTAATTTGATTACAAGATCATTTTAAAACATTTTTTTCTCCCTTGCCACCCAGCCACCCCTTTTTGGCCATAAACTTGCAGTGTTAGCTTCATGCTCTGAAGAGAGTTTTTCAGCGTCTGTTTCATGAAACACCTTAATTTGAAGCAGCAGTAAACTGTTGTCATTTTCACAGTTTATTTAAAACTGGTGTGTAAGACAAATCAAAAACACGTCAGCTGGAGGAAATGCTGTGTAGGGGGTGCAGAACACCTTATTGCTAACCTAAGACAATAAAGACACCTTTTGAAATGTTTTCTAAAAGTAATACTCTCCCCCATTCCGCACACATTTCTGTGTGTTGTACCTATCCTAGTAGAAAAAAGTAAAGATGATGCATCAAACTTATGCCAGCTCGTGTCTTCCTAGAACTATGAGAATTTACGTCTTTCACAAGTTGTGGGAAATATTGTCAAAATACAGTAGCTGAGAAGACCCACTGCTTTCTGTGAAATATTCGGTGGGCACTCACTTGCCAACATGGTACATCGCCTTGGCTTCCTGGGTGCAGTGGAAAGGGAAGGCAGCTAGCTGCCCAGCCAGCAGTTCTCCAGCCTTTACTGGTACAACTGATGGGTGTCAACAAGAGCTCACTTTACACATACGTTTGTATCAATACCAGTTTAAAATGCCTGCAGTCACAGTGTATCTTTGTTTCTTAAAAATACTGTGTTATACAGCAATACTAAGATTTATGATGTCTTTATGGAACACAGATGTGCTTAAGAGATTTAAAACAGGGTCACTTATACATGTAAGCCAGACAAGACCTGTTGTGTTGTGAGGGTGAACAGATTTCTCTCCAAAGGGCCTTTCTTGGCATTTTGCCATGAAGTTCAAGGCAGAGTGAGATAATCAGCAGATTTGATTGTTACAAAAACAAAGTGTGTTTTGATATGTTGTTACTTCCTTGCCCCTTGGTTGCAGGAAACATACTTTGTGGTTGGATAGAAATTTGCAGGTGGTGAATGAGTTTTAGCGTTAAAACTGAAAAGGAAAGAGAGAAGGAAAGGCCCAGGGCTGCTTCTCTGACCTCTATTTCCTCTGCAGGGAATCACTTGCCCATGGAGCAGAAGGTAGCTTGTGATGGGTGCAGAAGAACACAAAATAGGATATTCCCTTAGTTTCATTAGAAGTGTCCTTACAGAGTCACTATGCTGCTCATATTTTCAGATCGAGGGGAAGTTTCAAAGCCAGGCAAAAGTATACCATTAAAATCATGGTGAGTTTAGCTTACACACTGAGGCCAACCTCATCCAGATGGGTGCTATGGAGAGCATCATGCCTGGTGAAGTGCATAGTCTGAGTGTAGTAGTTTGTAGTTTGAGAAGCAGTCAAGATTGTCAGGGTAAAACTCACACTGACAAACCACTGCACTCGGGGTGTCTGTTCCAGTTGCATGTAGTGTAGAGGTCTTTATATGTAATTTATGCTATTAAAAAAAAGTCTTTTGGTCTTTTGATTCATTTTTATATTTTTTTCCTCTGTTTTAGACTAAAGAAAAGCAACCCAAAAAATCCCCTCAAAATGTAAACTGATTATTTGCTACATGCTTAATTTTTAAATAACAGAGTGTGGCTGAAGCACTCACTTCTTGGGAGTCTGAACCTTAGCCTCTGAGTACCTCTGGCTGCGTACGGGCTGTTGGAAAGGGACGTGACGCCGGAGGTACAACCGGGAGCATGGTGGTGAGCAGTTGGAACTCCCCATTGGCAGTGCCGACAATGCACATGCTGCGTTTCAAGCAGTTAGGATGTCGTATGTAGTAAAAATCTCCTTGACAAAAGGTTTCTAATTTATAGCAGAGCACCGTCCTGTTGTTGGCACTCGTTCCTGGCTTTTGGAAGTCGGCATGATGGGCTCCTTGCACACTGCGGGATTCTCTATGATTGTGGCCAGCTGGATGGCACCTGGATGCTTTTCCTCGGTGTATGGCGTCTGTTGGCTCTGCCTGCCGAGCTTCTCTGAGGTGCGCGCCATGCTGTTGGTCTGCACCTTCTTGTGGTCTTGCTCAGAGGTCCTGTCCTGCCCTTGCAAACGCTCGCGTCTTCTGCGGCACAGGAGGTGCAGGCAGCCATAGAGGAGCGCGTTTCTGGCGGCCGGGGGGGGGAGGCCAGCCATAGAGGAGGATCGCAGCGATGATGAGGAGCAGGACACTGCTGGTGAGCCAGATGCCCAGCGCCAGCTCTTTCTTGGTGTTGCTCACAGATGCCAGGTCTTGTTCCAGCGTGTTAAAAACTCTGCACTGGTCACTGGAGGGGTTGGCGGACTGGCAGGTCACGCACACGATGTATGTTGTCAATGGAGTCAGGTTTTCAACAACAAAGGAGGAGCGACTGGTGGGCACCCTCTCTTCCTTCTGAAAGCTGTTTCTCGAGTAACTTGATAGCATGCTGTTCCAGTTAGGATGGTACATGACGCTGTAAAAGCTGTCCGCACAACTGGCCATTTTTGGCCAAATTACCATTGCTGTGTTTCCTGTGATGTTTTGGACGGTTATTCCCATTGGGATGTTGCTTAGGTAGGTTTTTTTTCCCTCTCCTGATGCTGATCTTGCTGTGGAAGGGGGAGATGTAACTGAGAAGTCTGCAGCACTGGAGATGTCGTGTGTATCTTAATTGTAAAGCTCTGTAATTTAGGAAAGGAGTTTATTAGGAAACCTGCGCTTTGATTGTTGGTACTGCTGCATCAAAGTGTGAGTTGGCAGTTCATAAAATTTGGAGAATTTTAAACTTTTGTGTACTTTTTTCCCAAGTGAAAGGCTAGATATATGCTTATAGAAATTCAGCCAGAGATGCTGCCTGTCCAGGTGACCGGTTGTATCTTGTCTCAATGAGAGATGGTGTGTTTTGTACAATTTGCAGTTGAGGAACCACTTCCTTTCACAGTTTTTTTTTTTCAGATGACTGTGCTCTCGCAACAGGGGAAGAGGGGATGCTGGCTCTCAGGATCCCCTTCAAAATTTGCCTCTATGTCAGCTTTGGTATGCACACTGCCTACATATTTGGGACAGTCCCTAGAATAAGATCACTGGATATTTTTGTCTTAAGGAATTTGTGATTAGGTAACATTAAGGGAAACAAAACCTCTTCAAGACTATAAAGGAGAAAGGTGAATATGCTTTGTACTTCTGAAATACGTACCCCTCCCACAGGGAAAAACAAATGATCAGAGGTCTACACAGATGCATTAATAAATGCATCTCTCCTTTGGAGCAATGCTGGAATATTCTTTTTAAGAGAACAAACATTTCTAATAGGATAAAGAGCTTGATATTTAACATAATTGATGTTATGAGTCAAACTCTTATGGACAAAAATGGCATTGAATTCTAAACTGAATTGATCTGCTGTCTGTTTTGGCATTAAACTGAAGATTGACAGATTGACCATCCAGCTAATTAACTCTACCTGTCATAAAAAATACTCGCCTAATGAGTATGTTGATAAGCAGGGTTCGGGTTTGTTTGTTTGGTTTTTAAAGGAAAGAAATTAATCATTTCCTTTTCTCTCTAGTCTGAGTATCTTGCATTTCATTTTACTTATTTGGTGTTTTCCATAATCTCAAAGCTTGCTTTTGTGAGACATGAATGTTATGTTAAATGGCAAGCGAGGGGTGGCAAGAGTGCATCTTGCAGGATGAATTCCTCTGGCCACCCACAACTCTTGATTTTTGCCTGCCACAGTCAACTGAAAAACAAAACAGTATGTGGAAACATCACCAGGTACTATTTTGTCTCCAGTATCATTTTACATTGGTTTCTTACATGCCAATACTTTCAGTTTTTTTGATGGTGAGTTAGCACACCTGTAGCCACTGCTAGAGCAATGTCTGTGATGATTGTATGTTGGTGGCATCAGTATCACAAGATTTAGTCTTGATGCTAGTCAGCCTCTTGGAAAAGCTTTTTCAAGCTAGGCTTAGCTAGCGAAGTACAGCTTTCACTACAGCATACCCTTTGGATAGATAGTATTTTTTTTTAAATACCTAATACACTTTTCTGTGCTAAGTGATTGTACGTAATTCCATAGTCTGTCTGCCCTGAACTAATACTCCTCCTCATAATAAAACTAATGTTAGAAAACCTGCCCATATTTTGAGATTCTGAGTTTGTGTTCCCACTGTAAATGGTGTAAGGAAAACATCTATATTCTGCAATTTTCTAACTGCTTCTATTAAAGAATGTCTTATTTTCAGGACAAAAATTTGGCTTCTGCCTTGGTAGAATTTTAATTAAAATTGTTGGTTCATAACAAAACAAATCTTAATAGCAGCTAGTGGATATTTTCATTTGTTGGATGGAGGTTTTTTATTTTATAGTTGTGAGGGTAACATTTTCAAAAGAGTCTACCTCGGCAATTTAATCTGATTCTCTTGTAGTTTAATACTCAGGTTCTAGCAGCACTCGTGTGAAAGTTTTTTCCACTGTGAAAGTTTCTTCCTTTTTTTATGAACATAAATTCCCATAACAGTAACAATGTATTTTATTTTTTATGATTTCGTTATTAAAATTACTTTTTTTTATGATCAGGTATCAGTTGTTAAGTCTCCTGGCTAAATAACAATTTACTGTTGAAAATTTCCCTGATTAAGAAGGCTTATAACATATTCTGAAATTATTCTGTAATACTTTTATGATATTTTATACTAGATAGGAGGCTGACAAAATACGTATTATTTTAGTGAGATCTTGATTGTTACATTAATAGTAAGAATTCTGTGACTATGTATGAAAATTGTTGCTCGAGGCTTTTGGATTATACTTACTGGGAAGTGGGAAGAAAAAGAGGTATGTTAATTTTCATTGCAATCTAAAACTGTAGATATGACTGATCTGGGTAGGCACTGCTTTTCTAATCGTGTGGTAGGTGTACGCTTCTTGCCACAGGAACAATATAAAGGAACTGAGTTTCTTATCGTGTAAACTTATTAGACAGACACATTTTGTCATCTGCCCAACTTCTGCAGCTATTAAAACTGGGTGCATTCATAAAATCAGACTTTTACTTGCTCGTTTGTCTTCTCTTCCGCTGGTAGATCCCAATTACTTAAAATAATTTATTTTTATAGAACACTTCCTAACACAGTCTAGAAACAACAGTTTAATTCTCACATTTTGTAAGCTGGATGTTTGGATTTTAATTAAACAAGAATAATACTATTATTTTATTATTACAAACAACTGCTATTAGAAGATAATTACTGGCATGTAAATGTTTGGAAAACCCATTTGATGTTTTATAGATTATAAAGCCAGTACTTACCGTCACTTCCTGATGTAAATTTCAGAACAGAATTTTCATATGGTGATGCTGCTGCGAAAATGACATAAACACTAAATTTTCTGCATCCTTTTTCCCATTACTTATTTCCTGCCTGATCTCTGCTTGCCAGTTTGCTTTTTCTTCCCCTCAGATTCCCTGGACTGAATTCTCACTGCTTGGTGCTTTCAGTTTTTTTCTCCGATGATGCTGGTGGCATGGTTTCTTTGTCTCTTCCACTTAAATTCATGCAAGAGCACATCTTGTCTAAAGATGCTGTTGCCTGGCTTTTCAAAGAACATACAGGAGAAGAAATAATGTCTTTCCCCCCTCTCTTGCTTACCTCCCCTTGGACAATGTACTGCCTGAACATCCCTGTTATATGCTCTTGTGCCTGTACCAGTGATGCTGTGAGTGATTAATGTTAGCACTTTGATGACATCAGCAACGAGCAACTCTCTCTCTTTTTTATTTCATTTAAGTAGGGGAGGGAGCAATCATAGCTTAAAAATAACAGAGCTCTCGCTCTCCTTCTTTACCTTCCTCCTCCCCCTCCTCCCCCCAACTTTGTTCGTGGCTTCTTCCCTAAGCATTTTATGCTTTTGTGCATCATGGGGGGAAAGCGACGGTGGCATGTGATAGTGTTTTCTAAATCACTTGTCACAGTTTATAAAGCTCTGTTAATCCAGCATTTACAGGTGGACCATTATAGGTACTTCCCCATGAAGATTACATTAAAGAAAGATGTATTTTTAGATTGGCTGACTTCTTATTGTTGTGTATTTGTGAGCTTTTAAATATTGAAATCATGTTTTTAGGGCTTACTGTTCTATGATGAATTTCTGCTGTGCAAAGAGGAGTTCCTTCCCCTTAACCTTACAACATAAATGGCTTTAACCTAGCAAAGTAAAATTCTCTTTGTACTATAGCCAAAATAGATAGTTTGGACACATTTATTGTGGAGACCTACCTGATTGGAAACATCAAAAGCAAAAGATGAAATTTCACCTTTTAGGGATGGCTGTATAAATGCTTAGTGTATCGGGACATTCATCTGTACATATTTTCTTAAGTTTTTACCAGTTCTCTCCCCCATCGATACCCCAGACTCCTTTTCTGTAAGGAGAGAGCTATGCAAACACACACGTTGTACTAGAGGGATGCAGCTTTAGGCTGTCCACTGGGTGAGATGTGTTTGGAGTTCAGTGTTTTAGCCAGCTCCGATCCAATAGCAGGACTGTAGTGTGCATTAGGAGTCTAATAATTAGCCAAGTGTCTATTTTAGTTTGTGTTCACAGAAATGGTGGCTGAGTATTTGGAAAAAGCCCTCCTCCACAAAATCGACACAAGTCCTCAGTCCTTAGAACAGAGCTTCCCAGACTGACGGACAGCTGAGGCCAGGGGACCATCCAGGGCAGGGTGACCTGCAGCAGGTTGCTCAGGGACGTGTCTGGTCAGGTCTTGAGCATCTCTGAGGACAGACTCCACAACTTCTCTGTTCAACCATCCTCACAGTAGTAAAGTTTTTTCTGATGTTTACATGGGCTCTCCTGTTTGTGTGCATTGCTGCTTGTCCTGTCGCTGGGCACTGCTGAGCATAGGTGGCTCTGTCATCTTTACTCCCCAAATCAGTTACTTATGCACGTGGATGTGATCCCCTGGAGCCTTCTCTTCCCCACGCTGAACAGTCCCAGCTGTCTCAGCCTTTCCTCATAGGAGAGATGCTCCAGTCCCTTCATCATCTTTGAGGCCCGCTGCTGGCCTCTCCCATATGTCTCTTTTGTACTGGGGAGCCCATCACTGGACCCAGCACTCCACATGCGTCTCCTCTCTTCTGAGCCTGTGCTTTCATGTATTTCTCTCATAATGCAACAATTTTTGTCCCATGAGGGTATATGAAATATATCTAAGGCATCCACAAAAGGTGGCCAAGAAGTGGTAACCTGTTGCCAAATTTGCATTCCTTATATGTCAGTCTAGAATCCAATTTTTTAAATTTCTAAGACCACAGTTCAAAGCATGTTGGGAACTGGTGTCGATATAGAGATTTACAATGTAAATAAAAATGTGTGTCTTCTATCCTGATCTCTTCTCAAGATGATTTCTAAGTCCTTTTCTTCTGTGATACTAAAATTCTCTGAGAGCTTGGGAGAGTTTCATGAGTTGAATTCACAGTAGTTTCTTTGTGCAATGCCATGTGTTACAGTATCTGTTATTGACTTGCATGGATAATCGGGGCAGGATCTGCATTGGAGGGAAAGTCAGTGTTTTTGCTGGATACTGGTGAAGGAAAATTTTCTGTTACAGCTGATGTGTGTGGAGTTGAAAGTCTAACAGTACACTGTGTTTTGTGCATATATTAGAGAGAACGAAAACTGCAGAAGAGGAAACGCCACAAAACCTTCTGCAAGAAAGGCTGACAGGATTCCTTTGAAAAATTAAATTTCAGGATATTAGAACAGCCCACTTACAGAAGTGGAGGATGTTAAGTTAGCTAACTCCCCTTTGATCCATGGCTTCAGCAAACAGCTCCTAAATCCCTACACAGCATCAGTCTGTACAGTTGTGTTTGCTTTGAAGAAATAGTCATTAATATGGCAAAGCACCTGATCCTGTTTATACAACTTTGGAATAATTTCCAGGAGGTTACATCACAGACTTAGATTTCCTTTGATCTTGTGTACAGCTCAGAGATTTGAAAAAAAGAGAGGTCTTTATTAATCAGTTGCAGAGAGTAGTAACTGCAGAAGGCTGTTTGGTTTTATTTGAGTCCTCGGAGACTTAAAACACCTATTATGAACTGAAATTTGAAGTAATTTCTTTCAAGATGTTTTGTAAATAAAATGGACAATACAGGAATAGCAGCTGTGCCTTAAATTCAGGGATCTGAACATTGGCATTGACTACTCTTATCCTTTTATACCTGTGTAAATAGAAAAATATCTTCACAGCTTTAAAAATGGTAAGCAGAAGATGCCTGGTGAAAAAAAAGCATTTACAAGTTTTTCTTGCTAATATAGAAATCTTGGTTGAAATTCCTGCCTTACAAAAGGGAAGCTTTGTATTTTAACTTCCTGGAGAGAGAGAAAGATACAAAGTTATTTTATTTTTAATATGTTTTAAAATGCTGTTTAAATTAGATTATTATAAAGTTGCAGTCAGATGAAATTGTCATTAATCATACCTGTTCTCTCATTTTAGGCATTGAATCTGGCATATTCCAGCATCTACAGCAACTACAGGAATTTTGTTGGTCCCCCTCATTTTAAAGTCATCTGTAGACTTCTTGGGTATCAGGGTATTGCTGTGGTGATGGAGGAGTTGCTGAAAGTTGTCAAGAGCCTGGTATGCCAGTTGTCTTTCATTTTCTGCTATTCCAAATGGTTTCTGATAGGAAATGTCTGAAGAAAAACGAAGTGAAAAGTAAGATCTCAGATAAAACTAATTAAAATTTTACTTCCATTGAAGTTCGGTATAATCTGTGTTTGAGAGTACTCAGTGTCTTGTGGAAGCAATAGATGATATGCCTTGGTAGCCTGAGAAGTGTTTTGAAAACCTTGGATTCTGCATTGGAGATGAATTTAATTTGTGGAGCCCTATGCTGTTAGGTCCTGGGTGAACTCTGGAAAAGTATGAATGTTTCAAATTAGTTGATTTCAACTTAAAGATTGCATTGTAAATTCACATTCTTGATATTTTTTGAGAACAGCTGGAGTGTGCTTTCTGCCTTGCTTAACCTCAGGGCTTTCATTAATAACATCATTGACAGATGACGCCTTAATAACAAGGAAGGTTTAATCTCTGTGCTTGATCTAGCAATGGATAGCATCAAGGATATTTAGAAGAATGCTCAGACCAGATGTTGAACAAGTTATCCATACAGCCTGGGTATCTTGTATTGGAAAGGGCCTTTCCTGTAACTAGGAGGAGGCTGAGGGGCTGGCTGTTCACTATATTAGTGTCTACGTAAACAGTCATAATGCATTGCAGTTAAGTTTAAGCCAAAGAAATGGTCTTTTCCTCCCTGCCCCTGTTGCCTGTACAGAGCATGCTGCCAAAATAATCCAACTATAGTGGGGGATAGCTGTAATTTTCATGATTTCGCTTTCAGACGCTTGACACATTTGGCAGTTTGTTTACAGTAATTCCCACAATTCGTTCTAAGTACATTTTTGACATTCTAGAAAGGCTGGAGCCTGCCTGTAGGGTTACTATAGTCTAATCTTCAGGAGAAAAGGAAAACACAGATATTTTTCGTGTTTTGGCACTGAGTGTTGGTTGCTTGTTTTGGGGGGATTTTTAGAAATTATTTAAGTGTTAAATCATCTCAATTCATTAGAAGTAGCATTGAACGCTTGGACATTTATAAAGGAGGTTAAAAGGCCTAGGGTGAGATATCCTGTGGATGCCTGATGCAGATGCTCAGGTGTAGGTATGAGATAGGAGTCCAGTGGGAGGAAGGCAGACCGGCTGTAGGCTGGGACTGTCTTAACCGATATGTCCATAATAACCAGTTTGAGCTGTTACAGATATACCTAATGCTAAGGATTTTTCTGTTGTTGCTTTTGAAAGCATTCAAATACAACTTTTCTTACCAAAAATCTAAAGGTTGGTTAGACAATAGAGACAGTCTGCAAGAGAAGAACATTATTTCCTCTTTTTTACCTTCTTGGCCTTAGCTGTTGTGCCACTCTTCCTAGAGCAAAAGGTGGCTAATGCCATGTGAAGGAAAGTGCAACTGTATTCATCTGAAGAAGCTGCCTTTTTGAAGATGATGACTGACAGAATTAATACAAGATTTTTAGAGCTTGTTCAATTCACGTGTAGTTTGAATGCAATTCGTTGTAAAGTTTCTTAGTTCAATAACACTGACGTGTTTACACATATCTGTTTTCTCTTAGTTACAAGGGACGATTCTTCAGTATGTCAAGACCCTAATGGAAGTGATGCCTAAGATCTGTAGGTTACCAAGACATGAGTATGGTTCTCCAGGTTAGTTCATGTTTGGTGTTACCACAGTAACCTTAATAAATTTATACTAATCACTGTCTTCTGGATCATGCGTACCTCTTTTTCCCGGTCTCTCTTCTCCTCATAATCAGCACTTAGTCTTTTTTTTTTTTTTTTTAATAACAAGAATCATTGAATGCTGAGCTTTCTGCAAGTACTTTAATAAAATTTTAGGACTTATATGCTCAGGGAAAATAAAAGGAGGACAGTGTATATAGACAGCCTTATGACATAATCGATCTTGACCTGGGACGTTTGCAATAGTTTCTGTTTCTAGTTTTTCTTGTAAGCATGTTGAGCTTTTCTCTCTGCAGGTTAGT